TTTAAGCTCTCTTCTGCCTTTAAGCTAATATTTTTGTTTCATTTTTAAGTTCCTATTTCTCAACTTGTGGGTTGCTCTAAATTCCTGTTAATATTGGGGTTTAGCGAATTTGATTTGATAGCCGTGATTGCTCCTAGGTAGAATGAAATGGTAGCAGTGGGACCCACCTTTGATCCCAGCACCCGGGAGGCAGAGGCAGGTGGTGTTCTTCATTCCAGGAAAGCCTGGGCTGCAGAGTTCCAGGACAGCCAGGGATATGCAAAGAGACCCTGTCTTGAAAAACCAAAAAGAAGAGGAGGAGGAGGAGGGAAGAGGAGGAGGAGGAGGAAGATGACTGAGGTTGGGCAAGGTGGTACACACCTGTAATCCTAGTACTTTGGAGGTGGAGGCAGGAGGATCAAAGTCATCTTAGCTACATAGAGAGTTCACCTATTCAAGACCTATTTATTCAACAAATAAGAAATAATAATAACAATAATAAAGCATATTGAAAACATTTCATTGGCAACTCTGACATTTTAGCCCAGGTGGCGAGCCAGTGCCTTGAAGTACTGTATTTCGTCTTTGGGGATAGTTATTGCCTTTATACAAGTATTACTGCTCACACCTCTGTACCTCTGTACCATAAGCTGCTCTAAGAACTAGACTACAACAATGAACAAAAACACTGTTAGTAACCTGTTAAACTCCACCTCCACAGTTACCTGGAAGCGGCCAGGTACGCTCCTTCAAACACAGTAATGGCTCTTATAGCTAAAAGTCATTATGTCTACATCACTTAATCAAAACTTTTATAATTATTTCTCCTTGATATAATGATTGTTGAATCCATAACCAATATGGGATGATAAACACATTTTAGGCATGAATATCTACATTTTTATTTCTCCTACCTTTAGCCTAAATATGAGGGCCCATTTATTGTTTATTTGAAATATTTTATGTGTATGAATACTTGTCTGCACATGCACCTATGGGCACCTGGTGCTCTTGGAGGTCAGAAGAGGACATCAGCTCCCTTAGAACTGGAGTAGGTGCTGGGAACTGAGCCCAGATCCTGTGTAAGATCACCAAGTGCTCTTAACCACTAACTGTCTTGTCAGCTTGTCCCGCGCAACCTCCCGTCAGCAGGAAAGACGCGGCACACTCAGGATCCTTCTGCAGTATAAGCTTTAATGTATCTTGAGAGGGAGAGCATAAGCTTCACAAACGAGGAGGGACCCCAAGGGCCTAAAACCCTTCCCTTATATAGAGAGCTAAGCTTGCCTGGGACGTGACAGTCTCTGATGGGCTCCTGTTGCCTCAGGCCACATGACGTGTTCCAACTGTCAGATTAATCAAGGCGGGAAAACCTTCCAGCGCATGCGCACAGACTTGTTAATGGCAATGATGTGATAAGGATAGCTTCCCACATCAGCTTGTATTCATTTTTTTTGTCTTTTCTTTTTTGAGATAAGATTTCACTACTTAGCCTTTGGCTGCCCTTTTCCTTACTGTGTAAACCAGGCTGGTCTCAAATTCATAGAGATCTGCTTGTCTCTGCCTCCCAAGTTCTGGGATTAAAGGTATGCACTGCCATGCTTGGTACCCCAATTTATTTTTGAGACATGGCTGAACTCTGTATTCTAGGCTAGTGTGGAACTTGTATGTAGACAGGCTGACTTGGAACTTGGAGAGCTCCTCCCAGCCCTTTCTGTCAGAGTGCTTGGATTGCAATTGCTTGCGAACATGCTTGCCTATTCTTAGACTATGCATTCTTTCTCTCTCTCTCTCTCTCTCTCTCTCTCTCTCTCTCTCTCCCTCCCTCCCTCCCTCCCTCCCTCTCTCTCTATATATATCTCTATCTCTATCTCTATCTCTATCTCTATCTCTATCTCTATCTTTTGGTTATTCAAGAAAGGGTTTCTCTTATAGCCCTGGCTGTCTTGGAACTCACTCTGTAGACCAGGCTGGCCTTCAACTCAGAAATCCGCCTGCCTCTGCCTCCCAAGTGCTGGGATTATAGGCCTGTGCCACCACCGCCCGGCTAACTATGCATTTTCTAATGTGTTTGTTTTCCAGTAAACTGATCACTGAGTAGGTTTCTTTAAAACTATTGTAAGCCGGGCGGTGGTGGCACACACCTTTAATCCCAGCACTTGGGAGGCAGAGGCAGGCGGATTTCTGAGTTCAAGAGTTCGAGGCTAGCCTGGTCTACAGAGTGAGTTCCAGGACAGCCAGGGCTACACAGAGAAACCCTGTCTCGAAAAACCAAACAAAAAAAGCAAAAATCAAACAAAACTATTGTATAGCTGTTTCCTCCAAAATAAAACCAGTCCATTTTGGAGGAAAGCTCATTAAGATGCAAGATATTTTAAAGGGAAGTGAAACATTCCTTCCATCCCAAGGGGAAGTCTGTAAGACAGGGAAATAAACTAACAAAGGTTTCTGGAAGTCCCTGAAATCGACCAGATGAACTAGGCTCCTCTCAGCCCAAGCATACATAAGCAGTCAGGACTGTTGGGAGGTACTATCAGACCAAACAAGCTGCCTAAAATCTGTTCAAAGGTAAGTCAAACCACCTGGAAGAAGCAGAGACCAACTGAACTGCCTAGAAAGGGCTGTTTCCAACCTGCTGAGCTACCTGCAGGTTGTGCTCTGGGTCCCCGGTTTCCAACTTTCATGAGGTGTCACCAAAGCCTGGAATGGGCTTTGGTGATGTTGGTCTTTGAGTCACTTCTGTTCCTCCACTAACACACCCACCCCACCCCTTTACTCCTGTAAGAAACCACAACAAAATGCATTGGTTCAATAAGTTGCACTTTGATGGCTTGTATTTGTCCCCTATTTGGGTGAGTAGGTATGTGTTCATGTCTCCCCAGGGCATAGAATCACACAACTGAAGTATTCTGGAAAAAGAATAAATTTCCACAAGAAATCTGAAGCCTAGGGTTCTTTTTTGTAAAGAGTTAAAAGTTCTGCTCTGTTAGACTGATTATTCTTGTAAACTCAAGGGGAAAGCTGCTCCCGCTGGATCATCATTATCTTTAATCAGAGCTTTTCCTTGGTGGATGTTCAAAGTCCTCTAAATTAGCCTCTTGGTATACAAGAACCCTCAGACTTTGAACTAAGTGTAACAGATTTGTTAAGACTCTTGAGCTTTACAGGTTGACGTTGTATAAATGTGCCTAGTCTTTCTGGGTGTGATCAGTCACTGCAGAGGACCAGCAGAGTAGGGTTAATGGATGAAGACGTAGAAGATTCATTACTTGACCTTGGACAAGGTGTATACTTTTTCTGGGTTTATCTATTTTGTGGTAGGCTGGCTCCTGGGGTGATTTATCTCTGAACTATCTCCAGCTTTCAAATTCTATGATTCTTCCAGAGTTCAGGAAGAACATTTAGCTACTTGAGTTTAAAACAGATGCGGTGATGAATGGGAAAGAGAACTACATAGAATATAAAGTTCATTCTATATATCAAATACTGTATTAGTAATATTAGTACATCCGTCAGGAGCTGAAAGGGTAGAAATTGAAAGATTTAATTTCTAGATTCATAATGACAACAGTAAACTCAAATTATAGTTTTCTTTCCAGATATTCAACGGAATATTCTCCTTCTCTTCTCTCCTCTTCTCTCTTTGTCTCTCGGTCTCTCTCTGTCTCTCTCATTTATCTCCCTACGTAGATGGCCTTAAACACTTGAGTCTCCTATGTCCACCTTCCAAGTTCCGGGATTACAGAATTGAGGCACTATGCCCCGTTTTCCCTTTGAGACAGAAACTCCATATGGAGCCCAGGGTGACATTTAAATCATGGCACTCCTCCAGCCTCACCCTACCCAGTACTGATACATAAGCCTGCACCATGAACAGCAGCTAGGTAAGCTACTTCTAGGCTTCAGTTCCCTTATATATAAAGTGGAATTCCTGAAAGTGTAGAGTTGGCAGATTCATCAGAACCCGAAACAACCAGGAAGTATATCCAAAAGTATACCCAAAGGAATGTCCTTAATATTAAAATTATCCTACATTTGTCTGAAATTCAGAATTAACTGGGCACTCCCGTTTTATCTAGCAGCACTGTACCAGCAATAAGTGCTTATTATTGTACAAGTAGTGAGAGCTCTGTACATTTTTTGTTTTGCCTTTTATTACTGTCTTTTTTTTTTTAATTTGGGAAACAGATCCACACAGTAAATCTTTGTTTGTTTGTTTGTTTGTAGACAGGGTTTCTCTGTGTACCCCTGGCTGTCCTGGAACTCACTCTGTAGACCAGGCTGGCCTCGAACTCAGAAATCCGCCTGCCTCTGCCTCCCAAGTGCTGGGATTAAAGGCGTGCGCCACCACCGCACGGCTCACACAGTAAATCTTAACTTTAGTAAATCTTTAAGTTTTTCAATTTTGGATCTGATTCCAAAGCCCATTTTCCGCACTAAAAAGGGCTCTGCACGAGTTTCCACTGCACTTCAATCAGACGAAGGTAACGCTGTTCTCAATAAAGCTTCCCGGTCCCCACATTTTCAAAGCCCAGGGCTGTTCGGACCGTCGCAGCAGCCCCAGCACACGCGTTGCGGGCGGACACTCGCGCGTCCCGCGCCAGCTCGTCCACTCAGCAGCCACGTCGCGCCTCGGTCGCCCTCCCATAGGTCCTTCCAGAGACAGGCGAGGTCTTTTCACTTTCCCGCCTGCTCGCTCTGCTCTGTCCTTCGGTGTCCCTCGCCTAGCCTTCCGAGCCCGCCCCGCCCTTCCGGACGCCACCTTCCCCCACCCGCCTTCAGGACAACCCCGAGGGGCGGCCACCGCCCTGGTAGGAGGCGGGAGGGTGGCTTGGGCGGGCCGCGGGAGGCGGGACGGAAGGAGGGGCAGGGCCAAGCGCCTTGGCGCCGCGTTGCCATGGCAGCGGGGCAGGGAGGAGGGGAGGAAGCGAGCGGGCGGGAGGGGGATGTGGTGCTGCGGCGGCCGCCACCGCAGCTGCCGCTGCCTGCTCACGGCTGGGTGTCCCGGAGGCGGCTGCTGGGAGCCACGGGAGCAGCTGCGGTGCTCTGCCATATTGTGTCTGGCCCGGCCCGGCCCTCGCCTCCCCTTCGCGGCGGCCGAGCTGACGGTGAGTCCCGGGGTCGCGCGGCGCGGAGGCAGCGCGTGCGGCCGGCGCTGGGCGTGGGGCGCGGAGGCGGCTGTCCCGTGGCGCGCCGGGACATTTTTGTCCCGTGAAGAATTGGCGCCCGGCGCGGGGGTGTCCCCGGCGCGCGGCTCAGGCGGAGCGTGGGCTCCCGGGGGTGTGGAACCGAGGCGAGCACGGCCCCGTGAGGAGTTAGTAGTCTGTCCTGAGGTAATGACCGTCCGGAGGGGGCGTCGCGCAGCCGGAGCCACAGTGGGCAGAGGACAGCCGGGGGAGCTCGCCGGAAACCTGCGACCGGGGAGTTGCTCTAAGAGCCCGGGGAGCCCACACCACGTCGCCGCTCGGGCTCCTATCGGAGCAGGGCGCGCGCGGCGTGGAGTCCCGGTCCGGCCCGGGCGGAATGGCTGGGCCCCGAGAAGTAGTGCCCAGGAGGCGCCGCGCGCCACCGGCGTGAACTTGGGGCGCGGGGCCCGGATGTGGGGTGGCTACCCCTGCCCGCTCTCGCGGCTCCCCGGGCTGGCGCCCCCAAGCGTGGCTGGCCGGGGGGTTGGGACTTTGACTGTTGCAATATGGGCACTTCCTGTTCGCCATCTCCTTGGGGCCGAGGTTACTTCTGCCCTCGGCCCGCGCCCGGGCCGGGAAGGGTGCGCGGTGGTCCGCGGCGTTGAGCTTGGGTGCCGGCCCGGGTGCAGTAGCCGGCGGCACGAAGCGGGCCCGGGGAAAGGTAGGGGGAGGGAGTCCACGTGCGAGGTGCTGGGTCTGCACTCCAAACTCCGCCTTCGGCTGCCCTCTTACAAAATGCCTGGGTTCCCCCCGCACCTCACGCGGGTTGGGGTAGCTCTTTCATTGGGACACCACATTCTCGAGATCATCTTGCACTTGGTTTCTGCTTTAAAGCCTTCCTTTTTCACCTTTTGGGTGGTGGTGGGAGGAGTCGTAAGTGCAGAGAAATGACACTTTTTTTCCCCCTACTTACAACTCCGCTGCGAGCGGTTCTTTCCAGGTTAGTTGGTGCTCTGTCTCCCGTCTTCTGATTGTGACAGCCACGTGGCCGGCTGAGTGCCATTGAGTGCTCTAGTGGCCAGAGGGCTTGAGGCTTCTCCCGCAGCAGGGGCTTTGTAATGGTATAATCTTGGGTTCTGTGCTCTGATATGGGGAAGTGGAAAAAGCCGAACTGATCGTGTCTAGCTGTTTCACCTGAATCGTATAATGGCTTTCCTTTGCAATTCTGGTAAAGTGTATATTGCCATTTTTGCCATTAGCTACAACTTTGATGATTCATCTTAAAATTTCAGCAGTGTTAGATATCATCAAAGAGCGATAGGACGATGTCTTTATAGAATTACCCGATTCTTTAAAAAAATCGTTTGAATTTCAAGACCATTAACTAATGAATCTGAAATGATCACATTCTGGCGTTTTTAGGGTTTATGAAAAAACTCATTTTTTCTTTTTACATAGATTAGCAATGAAATTATCTTTTTAAGGATAAATACTATTCTTGTATGCAGTCAAATTTGAGCAGAATTCATCTTAAGTGGAAATTATTTATAGTATATAATAAAGTGAAAGAGAAAACGATACAAGTTAAAAAAACTTTTCAGCAGTGAAGTTTTAGAATGTCTTTACACTCATAGGTTACCAATGCATCATGTGTCATTTTTTTATTTTTTTGGCAATTTTAATTTGTTAAATTTTAATTAAATTTTATTTTTTTTTGTTTGTTTTGTTTTTCGAGACAGGGTTTCTCTGTGTAGCCCTGGCTGTCCTGGAACTCACTCTGTAGACAAGGCTAGCCTCGAACTCTCGAACTCAGAAATCTGCCTGCCTCAGCCTCCCAAGTGCTGGGGTCAAAGGCATGCGCCACCACAATTTTAATCTGTAATATTTCTTTTATTAATTAGTCTTAGTTGGTTGTTAAACCAGAAGGAAACATGTTACATTTGTAGAGTTGTGGAGAAACCATTCCAACTCCATTTACCAGGATTTTGATTGTTCTGTAATGATTGTGTGAAGTTAATGAAGGTATTGAAGAGGTGCCATAAAGCTTTCTGTTTACATAGACTGAAAGATGAGTGTGTACTGACTGCTGAGAACAGTTGATAGTTGAGGAATGTAAATTAGCTGAAGAGAAGAGGCATTTACATAAACCCGGAAGACTGAAGGACTGAAAACAGTTTGTGATAAGATATAAAGCAAAGTGAAACTTTAAAATACTACTCAAACTGCAGGTGTGTGTGTGTGTGTGTGTGTGTGTGTGTGTGTGTGTATGTGTATGTGTGTATGTATGTATGTATGTATTTTGACAAGGCCTTCACTCCGTGGTCCAGGCTGACTTCAGAATTGGAGTAACCCTCCTGCTTCTGCATCTTCTGTTGTTGTTTTGAGACAAGCTGGCCTGCAGTTCCCAGAGAACCACCTGCCTCTGCATTCTGAATGCTAGGATTGTACTGTACATCACCATGGGTGGCTTGCCTGTAGTTTTGATTGCTTTGATTGTTCAAGACAGGATCTTGACAAGATCAGCCTCTTGTGTAGATGAGGACAACTTTAAACTCCTGATCCACCTTCCTCTGTCCCCCTATAGCTGGTTTTATAGGCGAACACCACCACAGTTAGTTTGTATATGTTTTGTTGCTGTTTGTTTCAACAGCTCAAAAGGATGGTTATTTTTAAAATTATATATGTGTGTGTGTGTGTATGTGTGTGTGTGTGTGTGTGTGTGTGTATATATATATATATATATATGTATATATGTATATATGTATATATATACACTTTTCCCCCACAGGGTTTCTCTGTGTAGCCCTGGCTGTCCTGGGACTCACTCTGTAGACCAGGCTGGCCTCAAACTCAGAAATCCGCCTGCCTCTGCCTCCCAAGTGCCGGGTTTAAAGGCTTGCGTCACCACTGCCTGGCTTAAAATAATATTCATTAAGATTGCCATAACAGTGGAATTCCCCAGAGCCACTCACATCTCTGTACTCACCCAAATTCATGTCCTCTCTTTTTTTTTAACTCAAGAATGATATTTTTTATTGTCCTGTTTTGTTTTTTTTATTTTTATTTTAATTTTTATTTTATGCATATGAGTACTCCACCATTGCTCTCTTCAGACACACCAGAAGAAGGCACCAGACCCCATTACAGATGGTTGTGAGCCACCATGTTGTTGCTGGGAATTGAGTTCCAGACCTCTGGAAGAGCAATTGGTGTTCTTAACCACTGAGCCATCTCTCCAGCCCTGTCCCGTTTATTTTTTTGTTTGTTTGTTTAGATTGTGTAATTTAATAACTAGGTTTTATGTAAATACAAACAGTTCTAGTAATCATTTTGAGAGCTCAGGGCTTTAGGTTGAAGAAGTAGAACACAACTGAGACAGTACAGGAGTTAAACTGATAAAACTAGGATTAAGAGAGTAAGTGTAACTGGAGAAGGAAGTTGTAGAAGGCTTGCGTGGGTAGAAGTTTCTTGGAACACCACGCGGTGGTGGCACACGCCTTTAATCCCGGCACTTGGGAGGCAGAGGCAGGCGGATTTCTGAGTTTGAGGCCAGCCTGGTCTACAGAGTGAGTTCCAGGACAGCCAGAGCTACACAGAGAAACCCTGTTTTGAAAAACCAAAAAAAAAAAAAAAAAAAGTTTCTTGGAAAAGCATGGCTATTGCTTTCCATGAGAAAACTTCCTTGCTAATAGATAATGTCACCCAAATGGCCACCCTCCGTTTATAATTAGTTTATTAATTTTGTTTGTTTGATTAGTTTTGATTTTATGAGATAAAGTAGCCCTGTGTAGCCCTGGTATCCCCTGGCTGTCCTGGGACTCTCTCTGTAGACCAGGTTGGCCTCAAACTCACAGATGCCCCTGCCTCAGCCTCAGGAGCACTAGGATTAAAGACGTGCACCACTCATCCCACCCTCTTTTAAATTAAGCATGCATATGAAATTTAATTTGTTAACTTTGGTTCCAATCTTCTTTCTTCCATCTTAATCTTCTTTTTTTCTTTTTCTTTTTTTTTCTGTTTCAATAAGCTTTATTTTACTTGGTCCAAGACATAGGAGAGACTCCAGGGTGGTTACAAAGCTACCTAGTGGCTTGAGAGGTTCATTCAGGTGAGGTCCTGAGACAGGCTGGTGCAGAGCAGAGGAGGGAGCTCCTTGGAAGGTACAGAGGCCTCCTAGTGCCGGAGAGTGACCCGCTCAAAGAGATACTCACCCAGAGATGCCTGGGGCATGCCAATCTGCGATGGTTGTGTCTCTGCCAGCCTACAGAGGTTGGTCAGGTGGTTGTCCATTTTCTTGATACGCTTCACCTCCTCATCCAGGAAGTGTTTTTTCCAAGAAGTCACAGAGATGAAGCTCTGTGGGGTTAGAACCCAGGACATGCAGATCCAAGAGGGCCTGGTTCAGCTTCTTCTCCAGGGCCTATGCAGCTCCCATGGCCTCCTGGGTTTTACGCCATTCATCTTGAGAGGGCTTCTGCACATCCTGGAAGAGTGCACGGCCCTCGAGATCATTCTGCAACTTGAGGTGATGTTTGGTGCCCTTCTCCTTGGCCAGTTTGCAGAAGAAGTGGCTTATGCCCTCCAAAGCCATGTCATCCCGATCAAAAAGAGGCCCAGAGAGAGGGAGGTGTAGGAGTCTGGCAGATGCAGGTTGACCAGTTCACAGCAGCTTCCTCTTCGGTGGACTAATTCAGACATCTGAGAGATCATTGCTGATCTGGAGTAAGGGGCTAACTGCAGAGATGGCGTTGGCTGCTCTTAGGAGCCAAAGGCTCGAGGAGGTGGTCCTGGTAGCTGCGATTTGAGAGACTTGTAAGGCAGCTGGAAGCTAGTAAAGTGGGAGTCCCCAGGTCTGTTCTGTCTAAACACTGTTGAAACAAGACCCAGATCCACGGGACCTCCAAGGTGCTGCTCTCCATCTTAATCTTCTACTGTTCTGCAGAAACTTAACTATTATACCTCAGCATAGTACTACGTTTATA